TTCTATTTGAGGATTGCTTGTTGCTTTGTCGTATTCATTTCTTGTATAATTTGGGCTTGTTCTTTCAGGCTGATGAGAGGATGGAGCTCTGGTAATAGCAGCAGCAGCAGTTCACCACCCTGTACCACTAAACTTGGTGGTTAGCTCTTGCAACGAAGAGCATTCTGATGCACAATTTGGTCTCTGTTTCAAAATTCCAGAGAAACAGTCTATGCATTTGTGGTGTTATTATTCTAAACATTGCTGCAAACTAATTAAATTAGTTTGAGAGTTTGGAGGAACAAACCTATCTTCTATTTAATCTTCAACTTGTGTGTAAGAACAGATACAGGACTGTATGTCTATACTTGATGAAAACCTTCCCATCCTTGCTAGTTAAGCAGCAAGAAATTTGCTTATTTATGAATTTGAGTTTGTGCATAATGGAATTGCATAGCTGTATAGAAAATATCGTATGCTTGTTGACGATTGTGAATGTGAGGATCACTAAAAATTTCGATTTACGTGTAAATTCTTTTTATTGAATAATGTGTGGTTGAAAATTAGTTCTTGATAAAATGAGGCTCAAACAAGGGTGGAAAGTCTTCTCTCTCCAGGTTTTACTCTAATTTGGTCATTTGTGTTGTGTTCTCCAGTATCTTTTGAAAGGTTATTATGAACTTATTCCCCTAAGAAGGAAAAATGCATTTGCTTGTTTCTCAGTCATTGTCTTCTATACTTTAAACTTGTGTGATAAAAGAGTACGAGTCAAGATTGTAATTTTTGAGAATATATAAAGCAGAACTAGAGGAGACTAGACTAATAGTTTGTAGATTGCTATGAGATTTCGTACATTGAAGAATAAAAAGATTTTTTATTTTATTATTATTATTATTATTTTGCAAAATTCATGTTATTAATAAATATTGAACTATTGATTATTTTTTTCTCAATAGTTCCTATGCTATCGACATGGTTTCTCATTTATCATTCATTCCGTGTGAAATTTAATGACAAAATCATCCATTTTTAGAACCAAAATAATGATATATGAACATTAACCATGACAACTTGGTTGACATTCCATTCCATGTGATGGAAATTTGTGCGGTGATGTGATTTATGAGTTTGTAAGGTTGTTCGAACAAACTGGGCTGTTAGATGAAAAAAAATGTTAGAAGTAAGATTAGACAATTATGATTCGATTTCACTCACGATGGTCAAGTATAATGCTTTCTCGTGCTATTCTATTACAATGTCTTTACTAGTACCTATTGCCTTTAAAACATAAATTACCTGCTAAGTAAAATGATAGATAAGAGATCAAAGATGAATTTGAAAATTCAAGTGAAAGAGTAAACTAAAAATATATGAGAGCTTCTGCACGGTGTGGATTTACCGTCCCATCGATAAAAAAAAGGATATCCTTTCGAGCAAACCAAATGAAGCAGTCGAAAATTGGGAAAAATTCACAAATCATATTGTAAGTATGCACAATTCAAAAATCAAGTTTTAAGTTTTACTAAAGCAAAAATCGGGTTTTAACTAATTAATTTAAAATATTTATTAATTAAATATAACGAGATCACATTTATACAAGTAATGGTCACATGAACATAATTATAGGTCACAACTTATTTATTGATCACATATTATCAAATTAATTGGTCACAAATTATGTCGAGGTCACAAATTGAAAATTTTTATAAATCACAATTTATTTTGAAATCACATATTTTCATATTTGTTGGCCATAGATTATTTTTTAGTCACATTATCAAAATTTTCGATCACAATTAAATACTTGGTCACGGATAACCAAATACTTAATCACATACCATCAAATAGTAGGTCACATACTATCGACCACCCTTGCACAATGACCGTCGCCACCACTAGGTCCAACCACTGTCAACAAAAATAACACAATCACAACCAGAGACGAACTCAGGCCAAGAACATTTTTTTAAGGTATTTTTAAAATTTTTTTGTTAAAAAACCAATTTTTTATGTGTAAATTATTTTTTTTTTGCGTAGTAGCTCGGTCTTGGATTCAATTCTGGATCCGTTCCTGACCACAACCATTGAATCTCCAACCACCTCCACCACCAACTGCTCACATATTAAGTATTTAATGGGTCACAGGGTCATAAATGCCAACCCACTCCAATAAAAACGCACCACCACTACCATCGCCATCACCACTATCGCAACCATTGTCACTGCCACCAGTTTGCAACACTACCATCACCATACCGCACCAGCAACACCACCGCACATACCACCACAAACCGACTGCACCAGCCGTCACCACTACCGCCTATTTCCTACCTAGATCCACCGCATTGCCAAATCCAACAACCCTATTAAAAAAAAAAAAAAAAAAAAACCAACACCTCACTGCTGCCAACATCCAACCTCGCCAAAACCCCTACACTACCAAAATGTGGAAACCATCACCACCAGTTCAATAACATAAAAAATCCAACAGAGATATTGCAATGGCATTACAAGAGAAGCCAATTCGATCCTATTGCAGTGGTGCTGATGCAAGACAGTTGATTTGTTGAAATGGAGATGAGAGTGCAGAGAGAGAGAGAGAGATTTATGTATGAAATTAGGGATGGCGTGGGGTGTAGGTATGAGATGAGGTAGAATAGTTAATTAATTAAAATACCTGAATTGTGAATAAATAAACCTCAATTCTAATTTATGAATTGTGATGTTTAAATACCGGTAGGGTTGTAATTTTCCCCAGATTATATCCCATTTCATGGAGAATTCATGGGAACATCATATAAATCCTCCATCTAAAAATCACATTTCAAAATTAACAAACTTCTAAAAATCTTTCAAAAATCAGGTGATAATTGAATTTATTAAATATTTAATTATAATATAATATAATTAATCTATTTTCCCCACCTTACCTTACCTCCAACCACCCACCCATCACATCAAACCATTATCTCTCTCTCTCCACCCCATCCACCTCTGGTGACTTTTTCGACAAAGGTTTCAGCGAAATTCTGACAATGTCTCCGACGGCGATTCCAGCAACCTCTCTGGCGAATATTCTGACGACTTCCCAATGACTGTTCCGATGACCACTCGCCTTCCGACGAAAAAAGGTAGTCACCGGAAAAGTGAGCGGTCACCTTCCAATGACTATTCCGGTGACCGCTCATCTTTCCGACGACTATCTTTTTTCTTTTTTTATTCTTTTTTGGCAATGACTTGTGACCAATTTCATTAGATCTGTTACCTATGTACATTGTGATCTGTGACCGGTTCTATTGAATCTGTAACATAATCAGGGTGGAATGAATATGCATATGTTCAATTTCAAAATTAAGAAAATAAAGTTTGAAATTTCAAAAATCAAATACTATTAAAATTTTAGTTATGAAATAATTAATCAAAAAAATATTTTTGTAAATAGATATATTAAATTCATGAGACTTTTTTTTCTTTTTCTAGGCAATAACGTGTGATTTGTGTAAATTGTGACATATAAAACATGATTTTTAACCTGTGATTTGTTACCCGTGACTCGTAACATAAAGTGTGACCTATAAATTTGATCTTGACTTCTATAAAACGATATGTGACTTGTTAATATTGATCATTGACCCGTTTATACTGATTTGTAACTTATATGATATGATTGTGACTTGTGAACTCAAACCTATGACCAGTGAACTGTGACCTTAATGTTGAATTGTGACTCGTAACGTATGAACTGTGACCTTATGTGTTCATGACCAAATCTGTCTTCGGTATGAATGTCCGTGACCATGTTAGTCTAATTTGTGATTATATGTAACCAAGTCACATACGATCATAGTTAACACAAATCTGATCATGGGCAATCACAACGAAGATAGATTTGGTCACTCACCATCATTCCCAACATCGACAACCAAACGTACACCACCTCACGAGAATCACATGTACTACCAGTAACAACATCGACACTCACGCCACATCGCCCAAAATCGGAACCATAATTACCATTGCAACCTCATCGCCACGGCCAGCACCACTACCATCAACAAAACACACCACATATTACTCCACAACCATCGGAGATTTGTAGCGCCTCCCAGCGATCTAAAAGGGGTTGGTGAGGCGATCCACCGCCATCGCCACCAACAAAAATTAGTCACACTTGATCCAACAAAACTAGTGCCTCAAAACCACCCCGACTGCACCATTACCATTGCTTGTATCTATAAATCACCACCACCACCTCCTCACCATTGTGCATAGATGCTGCACAGAGAAGCCACTGAGCGGCACCTACATTGTGAGCGCCACTATGCAACGTCGCTCAAAGTGAAGAGCTGCTGTGCACAACAGTGCTCGGAACATAGGCTTCACAAGCACCTCCATCTGAAGTGGCGACTGTGGCTGCCTCTATCGTGGTTGATGCGCGAGTAGCTACATCGCAGCGGTCGATGTCGTCGTTGTGTGCGACAACGTTGTAGTGTTGCTCGAGGTATTCCGACGATCACTCATTGGCATCGAACGAGTTTTCCACGAGAGAAGAGAGAATTCGATGAGAGAGATGAAAGAAGGGAAATTAGGGTTTGAAGTGCAATTTGATTAAGGTAGGGTATGGGTTGGGGGTACATAGGTAAATTACGGTCATCGTCTTCTCCAAAGAGAGAGAGAAAAAGTGAGTGCATCTCGAAAAAGATGATTCGTCATTTTCTAGAGAGAGAATGATAGTGGAGTGTGTTGTGGGTTAGGGAGATAGATAGTGGGAAGATAATGACAACTTGCAGTTACGTAATTAATAAATATTAATTATTTAGATTATTTCTAATTATCCCCTGATTATTGAAAGAAAACTTACATTTTGGTAATTATGAAAAGTAGATGTTAAATGCAGGGATTGAGGTAATTTTCCCAGAATGCAAAGCGCAAACTAATTCGGCCCGCCCAAATAGCTTTACAGCCCATATTCTCTATTTCCAATAATAGCACCTTTTTCTCGCTCTAAAAATTAGGGTTTATCCAAGCGGGATTTCACTTCATACACTCTTTTCACTGAAAAATCCTCCCTCAATCACCCATGGCGAAACCAGGTCGAGGTCGCCCGGCTTCACCTTCAGGCTCCTCTTCCCGCTCCCGCTCACTTTCTCGTTCGCGTTCGATTTCTCGCTCTCCTTCAACTTCACGCTCGCGCTCCTCCTCAAGCTCCCAATCAAGGTCTAGATCCCGTCGTCGTTCACGCTCCCGCTCCAAATCATTCACCTCTTCCTCTCCTTCTCATAGCGATAGCTCTCGCAGCGCTAGCCCTCCTCAGAGAAAGAGGTTTAACCTTTTGTATCCCTTTCTATATACTAAATTTTATTTAATATCTATGTATGCTTTCTTTTTATTACAAATGCTGTAATTTGAGGTCCGATTTATGTTTTTTGATGCATATACTTGGTTGCTGGGAATCAAAATGATAAATTACGTAATCCATTATGTTATTATGAGGGAAACTTAATTTGATTTTTTCGCCTGATTTTATATATCGAAGTTAGTCTGGACTGTATAGTACTTCAGGAAATTCTAGTCTGGACTGTATAGTACTTCGGGAAATTCAGTGCATATTTCTTTCTACGTTCTTCATAGAGCCTAATACATGTACGCCAGAGTTATTTTGGAATTAGCAAGTATCATTCAGAGGGGATGGGCCAAATCTAGAATTCTTAAAACCAGATTTTGCTAACAAAAGTGCACACTTTCTCACTCATATCGCCCTCATAGACATACCTATCTATTGGAATTTGGGTGCTCAATCTTGTAACTAGGTCAAATATTCGTGTAACTACATTGAAAACTGGCTTGGTATGTTGATTTTTGTTGGTCTTTCCCTCTGTTCTTCCGTGCATGCTTTTTGTGATTATTTAGCCCCTGTTAGACGAAAATTAAAATCCAGATTTTAATTTAAATCAAAGTCAATAATTAATTTTAACCACACGTTTCATAGGACACACAACTTTCAACCCCACGTTTCATCATTTTTTATCAAAAGCTACTAAAAATACGACTTTAATCCCCTCCAAACAGGGGCTTTGTTGAGATGGTTTATGTATACGTGCTGTTCTCATCTTTCATATTGACCAACGTGATATTTATTCTCGTCAATGTGATATTTCACAGTCCTGTCGAAGAAGCTAAGCGAGGTCGGTCTCCACCACCACTATCTAAGAAAGCTTCTCCACCACCGAGGTGACATTATGTTCAAAATGCTCAATTCAACCAAAGTTTCAAGTATATTACTTATGAAATTAACAATTCCCACATTTTTTAATTCTGCCATTGTTATTGTTCATGTTTTATCTTGTTGTTCTGGTTACCCTTTTCAACATTCCCCTTTTAAAACCGCGATAAATTTCATATCACCATCAACATAAAATTGCCGAGCTCTATGGCTAGGAAAACTTGAAATTTGGACCAGTTAGAGCTTTTATGGAATTAGTACCTATTATTATTATTATTATTATTAGTAGGAGTAGGAGGAGGAGTAGTAGTAGTAGAGGAGGAGCAGGAGCAGGAGCAGGAGCAGGAGCAGCAGCAGCTATACTTGATTGTACCACTATATAAAATCTATCTTAAAAAACATACTAATTATGAAGTATATTGTATATTTAATGGGTACAGCTTTTATCATTTTAGATTTCATATTAACTTTTAGGTTGTTATCTGCTGCTTATTTTGTAGCCACTTTGTCTGCAACTGAATTTGTCCTCTTAAACTTGTGTATCATGTCTCCATGGCTTTATTTTATTTTATTTTATGTTCTATGGTTCTGCTGTTATTTCTGATTTCTAACTATCATGGATGGCCTTATTATGCTTATTTTATTCCGTGTTTCCAGGAAAGCTTCTCCAATTCCTGAGTCACTAATACTTCATGTCGATCAGCTCAGTAGAAATGTCAATGAAAACCACCTAAAAGAAATATTTGGTAGGCTCACTTCTTTTTAATCAGCTGAATTTTGGTAGTTTGCTTCTGATAAATACTGATTGAACAGTTATCCTGGAGCTAGTGAAATTGACTAATAATTACTTGGTGGCATAGACATAATTTCTTTTCATTTGAAAACGAATAGTAAGGGCGGACACGGGTGGGCATGGGGAGTCACGTGACCCCCAACTTTGGGGCCAAATTTTTTTTTTCTTTTCTTTTCCCTTCTAAATTTCTACGTTTTTGTCTCAATTTTTGAAGTCATTATGATATGTCAAAGGAAATCGAAATATTACATTCTTAGTATCATTTCGAAGTACTTACACTGTAGTTTTGTACGTTGTTAATGGAACGGTCAACCATAGCAAATGTCATGACTTGTCAAAGTAGCCCATTTCAAGCTAGTATTTCCAGAATTTCGATAACATGCTAACTTTAAAAATTCTCAATCAATCGTACATTAGCCGAATCCACAAATTGCTTATATCATCTCGAAGCTCATTTCGAGAACGACATCATAGGCATGTTGAATGGTTCAAACAAATATGGAAAATAGTTTAAGATGCGTCAAACATGCATCTTAAAAAGAGGCATATAAGTCGTATTTTCTTTAAAAACTTTCAATTATTATAATTTTTGCGATTCAAACTTTCAATATAATTTACATTATTTTATTAGGAAATTTTACATGGGTTATGACATAAAAAATTTTAGAAATTTTACATCCGAAAAAGTCATACGTAAATTTTTGAATGTAAAATTTCATGTGGTATATTTTTTTTGGATGTAAATTTTTGAATGAAAAATTTCTAACTTTTTGCAAGTTTGATTGTGCACTCAAAATATGTGCGTCCGCCCCTGATTGATAGGTAGCTAGCTTTTCTGGCACTTTTCTTATTTGCGCCTCCAGGCAGGTTGTGTTTCATTTCCTTTCTCTTGCTCCCTCTTTTGTAGGTAATTTCGGTGAAATTGTCAATGTACGGTTGGCAATTGATCACGTCGTAAGTCGTTAAATTCCCATATTTTGTGAAGGTGTTGGAACCAATTATTTACTTTTAGTGATAGATTTGATGAACCGTTTCTTTGTTGCAGGTTAACCTTCCAAAAGGATTTGCATACATTGAGTTCAAGAGTCGGGCTGATGCCGAAAAAGCCCTCTTATACATGGATGGTGTATGATTTCTTCAAGATGCCTCGCTATATGATCATTTATGCTTCTTTACTGTAGTGAAAATCAATTTGCTTTACTGGTGTTAATGCAGGCTCAAATTGATGGGAAAGTTGTTGGAGCCAAGTTTACATTACCTGAACGGAAGAAGGCTGCTTCGCCTCGTAAAGCTGTTGCAACAACTGCGAGGAGAGATGCGCCTAAAGCTGATGGCATTGCTGCAGATACCGACAGAGATGGACTAAAGCGACCTAGAGAAGGTATGCTTATCCTTTATGCCCAATGTGGAACGGTATTTTATTCCTTCTTCTGTTACTGGTATTTGTTTTAGCAAATTTCCTCATATCATCAGCATCTCCTCGGCACAAACCTCTTTCTCCATCTCGAAGGAGATCTCCTGTAGCACGCAGAGGTTCTCCCAGACGGGAACCAGATTCTCCTCTCCGCCGACGTGCAGATTCTCCAGTTCGCCGCCGAGTAGATACTGCTTATCGACGGGGTGACTCACCGCCTCTCAGGAGGCGGCCTGCATCTCCTGCCAGAGGCCGTTCTCCCTCCTCTCCACCAAGGCGTTATCGATCACCTCCCAGGTTTGGTCTTTCAAATGTTCTGCCATTGAATTGTTTGCCTTAACTTATTATCTTTTATTAGGGGGCTGCTTTTGACTTGTTTAATTTTGAATAGGGCATCTCCCCGCAGAGTACGTGGTAGCCCTGTTCGACGACGATCTCCACTTCCTCCTAGGCGACGGTATGTTAACTGCTTGTCACAGTGCCGTCACCACTGGCATTCCTTTTAGATAATATATTGTGCAATTTTTTTACGTGTTATCTAATTTGATGTATTAACTCCTATAAGCTTTGTCAATTTAAATATGCTTTTCAATTACTCTGAGGAGCATTCATGTATTATCATGTACAGGACAAGCATGTGGGTCTTTTTTTAATAGGCTTGATGACAGATAAAGTCTAGCATTCGAAGGACATAGGGTTTCATGGCTCTCTTTGTTAGATTTAGTGCTGCAAAGATCAGGAAATATGGGGACTAGAAGGTATTGGATGGGTGATGGATGGCTGACAAGACCCTGGAACATTTTTCTAATTGTCTAGGATTTTTAGTGGTTGAAGTTATAGAATCCGTTAGTCTATTAGGGGTTGTCTGGGATCCATATAGTAGAGCTAGGTGTCAATCTAATTGCTGAAAATTTAAGAAGCTAGAAGAGGATTCTAGGAGCCCAGAGTGTTTTAAGGTTTTTGGGTTGTTTAGACATGATCAATCCTAGAAGCTGAAAGGAAAATAATTGAAGATTAGAGAAATTTCCTTTTCAGGTAGTAGAACATGTTCTATTTGATTTATTGTTAGCTGTATACTTTTTTTTATGGGAATAAGCCTTTCAATAACTTAAGGAACATTGATTATGCGCATAAAGCTATCATTTTGTGATTTGCGTTATATTCGTTATATTTTCTTGTGCTTGTATATAGGTAGTTTTTTTTCTTGAAACAACAATGGTTGTGTTATTAATTTTGCATCATGACTCCTACTGTGTTTGGGTTGGTCCTCTGTAATTGTGGGAATGTTTGTTTATAGTTCTCCACGACGTGCCCGAAGTCCGCCGAGAAGGTCTCCAATTAGCCGTCGACGTAGCCGCTCTCCTCCTATTAGGAGGCCAGCTCGTTCGCGATCAAGATCAGTATCTCCAAGAAGGTATATATATACATACATACATTGTTTCTTAATTCCATAACTTGCAACAATGTTTTTCCTTTTTTCCCTTTTTTTTTTTTAAATGAATAACGAAGTTTATTACTTCTCTCTCTTAATTACACATAATTTCTTTCGAGTTTAAATTACATTCGAGCTAGGCAGATTGATTAATTTTAGTATTCATATTCATGTTTGTATCTAAATAAATTTCATGAAATATGGTTAAATTTTAAAGGTATACAGCTTTGGTGGAGTTTTAGAACACTAGTAAAACAATTTTATGAAAGCTTTAAACATGATATGGCTGAGATGTGCTCATACTCGAGTCTGAATTAGCATTTCTTTATTTTCGATTTCTGATCTATTTCACTAAAAAGATGTGGTATCTATAATGCCTCATTATGTCATGACTTCTTATGCATATGATGTATTCTTCCTTGCAGAGGGCGTGGACCACCACCTCCTAGACGTGGTAGATCATCGTCCTACTCTTCATCGCCTAGCCCACGCAGGGTTTGTGTCTCTAAATATTCTGTGTCATGAGATTCTTTCGGTTCAGTATCTAATTGCAGCTCCACCTTATGAATTTGTTTTCAGGCTCCACGGAGGGTATCAAGGAGCCGTAGTCCAAGAAGGTATGCTTTCTTGTACTTGTCCCGATGAAATCTTATGCTATGAATGATTTTTCTTCACCAAGAATGAACCGCATTTAACATAAACTACGTTAAAAGTTTCTGTCTTATGAAAGTTAAATGGTTTCATTTATTAGAATCATGCAAGCGATTATTATCATTTATCTAAGATAATTTTTTTAAAAAAATTTTGGGGTCATTCTATTTGAGGATTGCTAGTTGCTTTGTCTTACTAATTTCTTGTCTAATTTGTGCTTGTTCTTTCAGGCCAATGAGAGGAAGGAGCCCCAGTAATAGCAGCAGCAGCAGTTCACCACCCCGTAAGCCTTAACTTTTAGGGGCCATTTCTTGCAACGAAGAGAATTCTGATGCACACAATTGCATGAGCCAATATTCGTAGATGGTGCTTTATGGTTGAATCAGTCGATGCATTTGTCTCGTTAAATATTCTAAACATTGCTGTAAACTAAATTCGTATGAGATTTTGGAGGACTAAACCGTATCTTCTATTTAATCTTCAACTTGGGCATGCCTGCTAGTTAGCGGCAGGATGTTTGCTTATGAAAGAATTTGGGTTTTTGTCTTGGAATCGTGTTTTCCGGCTCTATTACACCTTTCTCGTAATGGACGTTCTCAACATGTTGTTTTGGCGTGATAAATTTTCATTTTCTTTTCATTTTTGTTATTGTTTTAGGTTAAATGATAAAATGGTTAAATATTATTTTGACGATTTCATCGATAAACATTAAGTGGAGGAAGTAAGTACCAAGGTAAAAAGAATGAGGAATGATCCCTTGAAAAAAATTGGAATAGTAAACACTAAAATAAGCGGCTATGTGCATGTGATGTTACTTAGTCATCAACCAAATATTCTATTTGTCAAATTCTGAGGGTCGCATATGCAAATTTGCCAAATTGAAGTGAAAACGTATTTAAATTGTGAAGAGACTAATAGTATCAATTGTCAAATTGAAGTAAGAACATATTTAAATTGTGAAAAGAACATTTTCAATCATCATTGATTATCATTTAAAGTGGCAATGAATCCTTGAATTTGTTGTTGGATAAACTATCATCAATGAAGGTAGATAACACAAAGTATTGTAGGATGTTAAGGGTTGACAAAATTTTCGAAAAGTCAAAGGGTGCTTTTCAAATGGGTTGATAGCACAAAATGTCCCTACGTTTGACACTTATTGCAAAAAAGGTCCATACGTTTCTTTTTTTTTTTTGTTTTCGTCCTTATTTCGACGTTTCATTGCTAAAAACCTCATTTTCACCATTTTTTAATATGAAATGACCAAAATATCATCCTATTTAAATAAAACAAAAAGTAAAGAAAAGAAAAATAAAGAATACATTATAATTTTACTCCTAAATGTTTTTAAAAAGTACAAGTGAGTCTAAATAATTATTAAAATGTCTAATAGTAAAAACGTCCCTACGTTTCAAATTGATAAAAATGACATTTTTCGCAATGAAACGTGAAAATGGGGATGAAAATGCAAAAAAAATAAAAAAATAAAAAATTGTAACGTGTGGATGTTCTTTGCAAAAAGTGTCAAATGTAAGGATATTTTGTACTATTATGCCTTATTAAAATTGAAACCATTACCAAACCGATGAACCTCCATATCATTTCCAAAATACCATCACCCAAACTCCGGCGGCACCACCTGTTTCGAAGATATCCATGTCATTTCCAACACACCAATCGACTATATTCATCAGGATACTTTTCTTCATGGTCTTAAAACATCAACAGATGGTTTAGCGGTATGGAAATTCAACGGTTTGGGCGATGGTTGGTTAGAGTTTTTTCATTTCTAAAGTGGTAGTCATATTTGGAGAAGAAGAGACCATGAAGAGAAGTGTCCTGGTGAGTATAGTCAATTAATGTGTTGGAAATGACATGGATCTCTTCGAAATAAGTAGTGCTGCCGGAGTTTGGGTGATGATATTTTGGAAACGGTATAAAGGTTCATCGGTTTGCCAATGGTTTCAATTTTAATAAGGCATAATAGCATAAAACATCCCTACCTTTGACACTTCTTGCGGAAAACGTCCATACGTTTCAATTTTTTTTGAATTTTCATTCTTATTTTCACGTTTTATTGTGGAAAACGTCATTTTTATCAATTTGAAATGTTTGATATGACTTGGAATTCCATTTTCCAATTTTACCTTGTTTGATAACATTTTTTTCCCTAGAATTGGTTTTTCCAACTATCTTACCACATATGCCAATTTCCACCTTTTTCTTGAATTGGATATGGTGAGAATTCCAACACTCGGTTACTATAGCGACATTTTTTTTTTTTTGCAATGAAAACAAATTATTAAAATTATTGTAAAAAAATATTTTTCCTTTAATTGACAATTTTCATGAAAGACAAAGCAAAACGAACACTAAAATATAGACGATTTTCTTGAATTTTTTTTTTTTTTTGTTTTGACAATGGAAACAAATCTCATCCCCAATACTAGTAAATTCTATCATTTTAATTTACAATTTTCATGTAAAACAAAGTCAAATGAATATCAAAAAACATTTTTATTTCAATATTTTCCACGTATAAAACTATACCAATCAAACACAATAATTTATAATTTTTTAGAAAATAATTTTTTAGGCAATTCACTTTTCTAAATTTTTTTTTTAGACAATTCAATTCCGTCTTTGTAATTAAGTGGACCCTAAGTATTGGATCTGGCCCATCATCCGTAATCCTTGCATGCCTATATGGATTCGGCCCCCTAATTCTATCCATTAAAGGTGTCTGTAAAATTAACGATGTCTAACATAAAAAAGGAAGCCAAAATATAAAAATATATCCCAGTTCAGAAAGAGATCATTTTTTCAATTTTTTTATCACTCCAGTAAGAAGGAGAAGAAGAGAGTCAAGCAATCCAGGATCAAGTGGATTTTTAACTCTTGCCAATTAGTGTATAATTTTTTATTTTTTTTCTGTAATTTAAACTTTTTGTCTTTGTTTTGTTCGATCAATTGTCGGAGACTCGGAAGCGGATTCTTCATAAACCCTAACTTCTCCAACTTGAAGCTTTTGAAGGTTAGTTTACCTTTTCAAATATCTCTATTTAAAATATTCTACGCATTTGATAAGTTTTTCACATATATATACACAGATGGAATTAGATTTCTCAGGTCTGACGAGATATGCAAGTTATGTATATGTTATACTGTTAAATTATTTAATTGTACAGGGAGTGTTGTTATTGATGAGACAAACTAAAAAAAATAAAAATTGAAGTTTGGATTGTTGAAATTATGGAATTAGATGGGTTTGGACTCTAATGCACGGCCTTTAAAATTCTGTCGGGGCTGCAAAAGTTTGGAATTAGAGGGGAAAAAAGAAAGTAATTATATCACTTTTGGATGTAAATTGAAAAGAAGAAAGACGGGAGTTGTAAATTCCCAATGAAATTTATTTATTTTTATTTTTATTTTTTCCCTTTGAAGAAGAAAATGCTTTTAGTCAATGTTAGAAGTTCCATTGAATTTTACCACTTGCGCTAGTGGAATTTCAAAATGTATACCCTAACCTCATATTTTTAGTATATCCACTATTTATGTTATGTTCGGTCTTCATTGGCCTTAGCTTATTACTTTGCTCTTGATGTATATATAATCTTTGCAGCCAACAAAAGAAGCAAATTCAGTAGTTTGATCATTAGCACACTTGGCATCTCTGCAAGATTCAATGGCAGGCAATGGCCTGTCAACATTAGGCCGTGTAAAACTCGTTGATCTAATACCATGTGAAGGCCTTCCTTCGGACTCGTACAAATTGTCAGTTTCAACTTTGTCCCAATCTCTAGCTCACTATTCAGCTGCCATTATCCAATTACCGGTGAATGATGGGGCCCTTTTGAGGTCTTGTTTGGAATCTTCTCGTCTCTACTTCCATCAAAAACCACCTTACCCTCCTGCAGATATTATCCATCCCGATGACTTCCATGAATGGTGCAAGACATCTGGTTACCGTGCAGACCCTCAAATGTGGCAAGAGAGTTTTGATTTTAGACCTGGGCTTACTTCCGCAGAACCTAATAATGAAATTGAGATCTCTCCAGCTGGTTTAGTGGACATATTTGCACTACTTGGGAAAGCGTGTAGGGACATATTAGATGCCATTGGCTTTTACTTGAATCTGCGCAGTTCACCTTTCAGTGAAATACTTGATAATGTGCCTCTTAGAAATCGGGAAATATCGTCATCAGTGTTGTCTGTTTTTTGCCATGGGAGACCATCTTTTCAGGGTGCTCAGCACCATAATTTAACGACTCAAGAAGATGGCGAATTAGCAATGTTCTCAGACCATGAACATCAGGTTGATAGAAGCCTTATAACTCTTGTCAAGTCAGATCGGGCAGGCTTGCATGTAAGAGACTTTCATGGTCATTGGGTCATAGTGGATGGCGATCTTGGACCCCAAGAAGCAATTATTTATCCTGGGCTTGCTTTGTACCAGGCAACTGCGGGCTACATCAACCCAGCAATGCATCGCATTGATATCAGTAATCTGCAGGGTTCTATGTATGGTCGTTGTTCTCTGGCATTCAAACTCATGCCAAAATCCATGACAAGTCTCAATTGTTCTGAGATGAGGGCAGCTGGGCATGGGGTGGAAGCTCAATTTCAGCTTCCTGTATCAGTCGACGACTTCATGCAGAGATCCACTGACCAACTTCTTAATAGGAATAGTTTTGCGACATTCAGTTTCCCTACGGCCCAAGATGGTAAGAAGTATTCCTGATAATTTTTTTCTTTAAGTCTCTTAGATAATAGATCTTATGAAATCTTCACATGAATAAATTTTTTGATAAAGACTTATGAAGTTTATTTATCATTGCACTGAATACATTATCTTTACTTATTTATAATGTTGACTATATATTATGAAATACGAATCTTATTACCGTGTGTTCAGGGAGAGCATCTATTAAGAAACAAAAAAATAAGAGTATTTGTGGAAGAAACGACTGCTAGTTTTGGTCACTATTTTACCTGATTAATATAATTTTACCTTGAAGTGCTGGCCTCCCATGTTAGCTATGTACGCACGCACTACCATTCATATGAATCTGCTATTTAACCATTCATGTGAATCAGCAATATCCATTTGTGTCCTTGGTAAGGTTGCTGTTGTTCGATCTTTTCCATTTTTAACTTTGAGAAATCACAGATTCATATCATTATATGCTGTTTCCTGCTGAAACACTGTAAAAAGTTTTCTGTCATTTGGCTAATATACTAGTAGCCCTTAGAAGTTTTTAACAACAGGCCCTTGGATCGATGAAATGCTGGTACAGGATCAGTGAAAACCGTCATGAGGAAGAAAAGGAGTAATTCAAGTTGTAAACCTCTTCCTCCTTCGAAGAGACTGCGACTTGAGGCACAAAGAGTTCTGAAAGAGAGGGTTCAAGATATTGCTGATAAGAAGGGCATCAAACTGAGGTTCTGCACCCTGAAGGAGTGTGAAAATCATGTCCATTCACTAGACAGCCCTTGTGCACATATAAGAATGGAGATCGGATGGCCACCAGGAGTTCCATTTGTTCACCCACATGATCTTCCTAACAAGGCGAAGATTGGATTTCTTGAAACATATGAACCTGGTTGGTCCACAACAAATGATATGGAGTAAAGTTTAATTGGATTTGGCCGAAATAACAGACTTCCACCTGCAATTGTAAGTCACCTTTACTATCCCTTTCAGCTTCTATAATGAATCCACTGGTAAATTTGTGAATGCTTGCCTTTATCACAGACGCTGCCAGTCTCCTTATGCACGATACTTTCTGTCTAATATTCTGTTATAAAGATGCCCCATTTATAGCCAAAAGGAAAAATAGACATCCAAAGACTCGAGACTAAAATGCTGGAGATGCGCATGTAAGAACAAGAGCATGAAACAGAAAATTCTTGTCCATGTTACAACTACATTTGTAAATATCACCCTTAAAACTGGTTTCTGTGGTGAGGTTCATCATGACGCCATGAGCCAACCCTTACATAGTGCATTTAGAGTAATTACAGTTTATTTTTTCTTTCATAAAAGACATCCATGACAGCACATATTCCCAGCTTGATGACTTCACAAAGCTAATCTTCTAATAAGGGTAATTCCTAGTAGTGTGCTTGCTTTGATACCTGCTGTTAAAAACGACATTGGGTACAGCTCACCCTTGAAGCTGACTTGTAAGGGGGTGGATGTCCAAGTGAAGATGGCGCACAGTTCAAGCCTTAATGAATTCAGTAAAAGACATCCATGACAGCACATATTCCCAGCTTGATGACTTCACAAAGCTAATCTTCTAATAAGGGTAATTCCTAGTAGTGTGCTTGCTTTGATACCTGCTGTTAAAAACGACATTCGGTACAGCTCACCCTTGAAGCTGACTTGTAAGGGGGTGGATGTCCAAGTGAAGATGGCGCACAGTTCAAGCCTTAATGAATTCATAATCATTAGAGTTCATCTAACTTTCAGCTCTCAACTTTCTTGCCGTGTGTTTGGAATGTCCTGCTTCTATAACATCTTAATGAGTTACCCAATTTTTCCTAAGAGTGTCTCCATTAGATCATAGTGTTGACCATCTCTTTGATTATCTAGAGTTCATCTATCTTTGCGCTCAGTGATGTATCCTTCAGTACATTCGATCGAACTCAGTGCAATACAGAAAAAATTGTTACTGCGTCCATCATTTGCCATTTGTAGATGTTATCTTTCATCTTAGATCTCCTCCTTAAAATATGCTCATTTGTGTTGTCCTGTTTTACAGGAATGTATTTTCGAAGTTACCATACCGCTCTCTTGGTCACAGCGTACTTGTGGACCAGTTCAAGCCTGCTTTGCTGAAATTCTCTCTTATGAAGATGCTAGTTTCTTGCTTTGCGATTTTCTCCCCATATTATGTAACATAAGAAATTTATGTTCCATCATCCAGAAATAAAATATCTGTAAATGCACAAATTTTGAGAAGTGGCAAAAAAAAAAAAAAAAAAAAGGGAAATGATACTTGTACATGTTAGTTTATCACTCGGTTTACATAATGTTGAGGTGGCAAGATTTCACACCATTTTGGATTCAAAAAAATAATAATAATAATAATAAAAGGTTAAACCAGCTTGTGAAATCTCGTCACCTCTGCATTCTGTAAACTAAGTGGAAAATCAGCATGTATAAGTAGTATTTTCCAAAAAAATTTGGTGTCAGTGCATCATGTAGCTCTAAAAAAAGGTTAATCCCTAACCTTAAGGGTCTCCCACCACCCCTACCCTGAAATATCGTGAGGAAGGTAAATCGCAGGTTATGCCTCCAAGAGTACAGGGTGGAAGGCTGCTTGTACACTTGCACTTATTCAAGAGCCAAATTCATATTTCAGGATTCGAACCCTTGACGCAGCGGCTTCAAACAAAGTTGGATTTTTCCACCCTCCCCTTTTTACCACTTGGAGATGTGTCCTGAGGGCGAGTGCATCATGTAGCTCTAGCTTGTATGGATGAATTGTGCTGTTGCTCTCTTCAAGATAGCCATATGAAATTGTCGTCTTATTGTTGTGGGTGTGTTACCAAACTGTGTGGATGTATTTGTCTATCATTTTAATTAATTTAACATTTATTAAACCACATTTAATCAACTCTTAACTTTAAATGATAATTAAAACTCAGCAAACGGTTGGTTGACCCGTAAAAATATTATGAAATGTTAAAGGGTCGGATTCCAAGGCCCATTGAAAACATTTCCACAAAGCCCAAAAGAGTAAAAAGCCCACATTTGTAACTTAAGGATTTACCACCGCACAACTTTCATCCTCCTACTGTATCTAAACAAAGAACACAAAACCCTAATCGACATTGAGCTCAACGAAAATGGTGAAGTTC